TATTAATTAATTAATTAATTAATTAATTAATTGAATCCGGATTACCACCAAAATGTCATCAATTCTAAATTACCCCATTTCTGACCTATCCTGAAAATTTAATATTAATTAATTAATTAATTGGATCCGGATCTCCACCAAAATGTAATCAATTTTAAGTTACCCCATTTCTGACCTATCCTGAAAATTTTATTAATTAATTGGGTCCGGATCACCACCAAAATCTAATCAATTCTAAGTTAGCCCATTTCTGACATATCAAGAAAATTTTATGACAATCCGTCCAAAACTTTTTCAGTTAGGCTGTACACAAACAAACAAACCCACAAACCAACAAACACATGCCGGTGAAAACATAACCCCCTGCCAACCCCTTGGCGGAGGTAATTAGAATAAGACCGACACACGATAAATGTGTTATAAATCGTTATTTATGTTTTGCGTGTGCGTGAAACAGGGATTTAGTTAGTTCAAACTATCCAAACAGCAGTAAAGGAAACAACATATATACGTACAAACGTTTTCCAGGCGCAAGTTTCCTTCCGTGGAATAAGTAGGTCTAGCTCTAGCGATTTTACACGACGAACGAAACACGGAGGAGCTCTTAATTCACATGTTCGGCGCACGTGGACATTAGCTTAGCTTCTGTTGCCAACTCTACGTTCATTAATTACGCCCACACACACGTTCACCTGCCACTCCCGCATGTTACAGCATTGCTAGACAGATTATGCTGTACCCCGAAAGCCCTGCTTCTGAAATAACTTCTACCACAAGCACCCGCGTTTAATTAAAGCCGTTTTTAGACTAAAACTAATTTTAGACTAAAATTCACATTTTCCCATGCAGTGGTAAGGAGGGGTGTGGGCGTGGTTGAGGTATGGTTGGTTGTGCTGGTGGTGCGTGTGCCATTACAAGATCATAATCTGGCCGACTTTCGTTATTAGCCATACAACAGGACGAGGATTAGCATGAGAGTACATATGAATCAGTGGAATGAAACCAGCGCTGATGCGGGTGTAAGCAGTGTTTTGTCCACGGTATAGTCATAGTAATAGCGGCCAGTCTACTTTTTTCATCACAACAGTTACCTCACATTAGCGGCTGTCAACTTGAACAGAAACTTTTTTCGTTTTTACGTTTTTAATTACGTAAATCAGAATGTATATCGATTAACTATAGTAGGTAACCGGACGCACAAGAAAATCCGGCAATCTTGTATCCTGTATCTAAATAGCCAGTGCGCCAGCACCAGCAAAAGCTGCAAAAGGGTGCAGCCCGAGGAAAACGTTACCACCCCCTTTTAGCTTCGCCCTTGTATAACTCTTGACCCACTTCTTGGCAGCAGGGAAGTCTATTGACTTTCCCTCGGCAAGATGGGCAGCTGGAAAAACCGGCAGTAGGGGCCTTATCTCCAATTTGCAACTCACATATTTGCTGACTCTGCGAAATGCAGCGAGCTCATTCGGCGCAGGGAGGGAATCGAAATTTATCAGCACGAATGTAGTACTGACTGCACTTCGCTCTTGTGCCGCGCGCTCCCGTAAATTCGGCATTACCCAAATTATTGCTGTCTGCCTATATATTAGTTTCATTGTACTTACTCAGATCTTAGTGTTTTCAGAGTCCAGTTCCATAATCTGGTCCATAACCTAGACTAATAAATCGTGCTCTAGAAATTCTAGGGCCCAATACCTAACAATTAAACATAGACAAAAGCGGTGAATTTTGTCATAAAAAAAGACAACTTTTCCACTGTTTCTGATCGTGCAACATTAAAATTTAGAGAAATATCTTAACCATTTGGATGTATTAGTATCTTACCTACATCAGAAAACACATCCCATTTATGATCCCCCGTTATCTCATAAAAATATTACAACATCAAATCTTCAAAACTTCGTCAGAACAGAAATTGTAATATTGCCTGGAACGCACTTGCAAGACAAAATTAGTCACTTCTGCCCACGGAAGGCCATTAGATTAGGCCTTTAGGAATAGCGTAAGATGATGAAAATTTCCAGGGCACAGTTTATTGGTCTAGTCATAACCGCCTGGGCATAGCGAGTGCAGTAGTCAATATATAATTATAGCATCAGACTGCGGGGGAAACGAAGAGTTTTGTGGTCTGCAAATGGTCGGAGGTCCAGAGTAACATTGAATTTTAGAGGTCCACAAAAATCCACGATGCTCGTATAACACGAGAATTATTGCTTTGTTACGTGTAAAATCAGGAGTATACAATAGCGTTATTGGGACCGACTGTGAGCAGTGTGACAATCCAAGACCAACGACGATTGGACATACTAGCCGTAGTCTAGCTAAAAGTTTCGCTTATACTTATAGTGTAACTGATTTAAATTAAACTTAAATATTCTATTAAACACTCAATACCTCTCATCTCGAACCGTTTTTCTATAAATAAGTACAATCTAGTATAGCGAGGTAGATTAAAACCTATGGAATTCCAACAAAAATGGTGACGCCAACCGGCAACAACAACCGCGCGCGCGCGCGCCGTCAGTGACACCTGTTTTCAGAGACTTGGCAGGATATTAGGGACATTGGCAGGAGCCGATTTTGTGGCTAGGTTTAGCTTTTACCAGATTTGATGTCTAAGTGTCTTCGTCAATTCATAAATAACATTGATTTCCGCAGGAAACATCGGTTTTTATTTCAAGGCAGATATATATAGATATGATAATCAAAGCTATAAATAAATGATATTAATAACGAGATCTGCTCGAAATGGCAGTAAAATGTGCAGAAAGTTCCAGCCAACAATACAGACAGATTCTATTATTAATAGCCTCCGTCCCCCCCCCCCCATTAACCTGCAGCTTGCCATGTGCAGAACAAGCTCACTATACTCACGTTACTAATTACGTAGGAAACTATCGCCTTCCGCGTGTAGCTAGTATTACAGCAAGCCGCTTCACCTTCTTACCTTTCACAATATTTCAAAACTTGCGAACTAGTCTCGTGACAGCTGGCACGCCAAGAAACGTGGGCCGAGTGAGGATAGCTTGCAATGAGCGATTACTATTCATTTGCGGGTTTCCAGCCATGCACACACACACGCGCGCTCCCACTTCAACGGCGCTCTATTAATTTCTCATGGGCATCAGCCTAAGTGCTCCTCTCACATGCACCTCTGCATTAGCATCAAGTAGACACACGCACGCACGCACGCACGCACGCACGCACGCACATGCACAGAACTATAGATCTATGCCTCCGTACCATCTCATCCTATTCAAAAACATGAATGAAGAAGATGAAATGGCCAGACCCCTGGCATCACAAGACGAAAGTGGCAAGATAACCTTTTATGATGGTTGCTATTTGAATGTTAAACGTAAGACGTGACATGTCATCAGGAAGTTTCCCAATTAATAAGGCGTGGAAAACTACCCCTACAAATCAATGATCTCCCTTTTTTGTTTTTTCGTTTTACAAAAACGTGTTATTTAGAAATATATTATCTTAGACAATTTTTCCTACTATTATTAATTGAAACATTCATCAAAATAAGGCTCAAAATGCATTCTAAGCACGAAATGACAAAAAAGGCAAGCCGCATCGGCGCATACCGAGGCTTCAGAATTGGCTCCACGCAAACATTAGGTCCCACCTTTCACCCCAGCCCCATGCAGTAACTAACGTACATCTGTGCATCAATGTCACACGTGCATTTAGCGTAAGTACTGTTGCTAAGAACAATGCCTCCTTATAGCTATATGGATGCTCTGCTGCCGTAGCGATACATGTCACCCAACGATTTTCATCGATGATAAGTTGATAACCTGAATGAGTTAGCATGGGCGACGTGGTTTGACCAGCACATTGTGATGATGGTTAGCAGTAATCAGGTTAATGGTA